GAAGCTCGCTTGTCGCCGCTTAGCACCCATAGCAACTCATCAGAGGGATTAGTCGTTAGCAAGGCTCCAATTAGCACAAAGGGTGGTAGGGAGTTGTAGTCAGGGGGTCGTGCGAATACACAACATGGGCGATTAGGGGTAAGGGTACAGAGGATCCGTACCCGCGGTGTCATGTCTGGAGAAGCGGCATAGTTAGTCGTTGTCGTAGCTGCCCTAGTTGTCGAGCTTCGGCGCAGCGATGGCTCAGGAGCTCCGTTGGTCGAAGCACAGATTGGTCGGCCCAAGAAGGTGCCTTGCCCGCCGCAGACAGACAATTAGCTTGCCTGGTTGCGTAGTATGAGGGGGATGAGGAGAGGCAAGTGGGAGAACACGGTGGGATGAAGAAGTTCTTCGCATGCGTAGCAAGTATGAGTCGGAATGCTCCGTAGCACCGGTGTAGTCATAGGCAAGCTGTTGTAGATAGAGCGTAGCGATGGATCAGGAGCTCCGTTGGTCGAAGCACAGATTGGCCGGCCCAAGAAGGTGCCTTGCCTGCCGCAGACAGACGGTTAGCTAGCCTGGTTGCGTAGTATGAGGGGGATGAGGAGGGGCAGGTGGGAGAAGATGGTGGGATGAGGAAGTTCTTCGCATGCGTAGCAAGTATGAGTCGAAATGCTCCATAGCGCCGGTGTAGTCATAGGCAAGTTGCTGTAGATAGAAATGCAGACAGACTTCATTATATCTTGTTATGTGAGGTTTGTAATGGGTATGGTGTCGTTCGTGTGTATAGGATATCTTAATCATTATTATTTTTTTTTTTTTAATTCTAATTAAAAAATTAGGTCACCGAAAGGTGATATTCGTTTTGGTTTGGTAAAACAGGGCATATTTGGTAAGGTTTTAGGGGTCTATGTAGGTGTACGAGTTATGCTTGTATGTGATCGGTTGTAGTACAATTTACGGGGTCTGCTTGTAGGTGGGGTGATTATAGTTTTGAACTTTAGTGGCATATTTGCTTTGCTTTGTAGTTCCCGCGTAATGTTATTGTCTTTTCTTTCGCGCCGATCAACTTCAGAGCTCGATGGTGGTCAGTATTTTGAATGGGTTGTAGTCTAATTAGTTGTTTCAAGAAAGTGGCATATTTCTTTTGTCGATTTTTTTTGTCCTAGTTTTCAGATGCCGATGTTCATGGGGATGTTTCATGAGGTTTTGTTTTTTTGTGTGTCTTTCTTTGTCGGGTGTTGCTTTGCCGTTTTATTTTTTGCTGTCGTATCTGTTTCATTTTCATCATTTTCGTGTCTATGCATATGTTCGAGTTTTTATTATTATTCATGTCCCTTAGTTTCTCTTGAAAGCTACGTTGCCACTTGTACGCACCCTCGTACGAGTACGGATTCGTACTTTTGCACTCGTACGCTAGCGACCCCGTACGAGTTTTAATTTTTTTTTTTTTTTTTTAATCCGGTATTGTTTTTATTTTTCTTCTCAAATTCTATTAAGAATCTGAAGATGATGCTTAGCCAAATCTTGCTTGTTTTGTGTTTTTGCATCACATAGTTGTTTTTCGGATTTTTTTGATGACTTTTTTTTTTTTTTTTTTTTTTTTTTTTTTTTTTTTTTTTTTTTTTTTTTT